TGGCGCAATATGGTTCATGGGGTCACGAAGAGTCAGACACGACTTAACGACTAAACAACAAGCTACCCCAGTCAGTCAGGAGCTGATTAGAGCATGGAAGTGATTGACCTCATTCTCCCAAAATATTGTACATGCCCAAAGTTTCTCATCTGCTCTTATCCTCAGTGTGGAATTAAGGTTGAAATAGGTAGAAGTGATCAGAACTGCACATTAGTCACTGTGAGCTATTGGGATTTTTCACATCACCTGCGGGGCTTCAGTCTAAAACTCAGAATTGCTCCATTGGAAATGTGATAGATGCAGTGATAATGCACAGGTTAGATATATTATCTGATGTCACTGTCATGGAAACAGCTCTAAAATAAGATCTAGTCTCTCCACTGATGGAGAGACTAGATCTTGTAGCCATTGTTTAATTGTTCCTAATTCTCAGAAAACCAGGTCCAGAATGAACTCTACCAAGAGGAAAGGGTAATCAAGAACAGTTGTCTCTGCCATTCATACAATTTTTTCATCTAGACATTTGCAAGAACATAGACCAACTACTATTCAGAATAGCAGGAAACTACTCCAGGGTTATCAGGAATCCATCCAGATCCATTTGTCTTTGATGTCAGTTATATGATACATTGTGTGATACCCTTTAAATAAGAAACATTTCTATGGTGAACCCTTATTAATCTTAATGGAAATCACTGATCAATGACCATAATAAATTTGATTGATTGAATCTTGGCAGAAGTATGTATGCATGTATACATTTCTTCTATGAATTTATATAAGTCACCCAACTACCAGTGGAACTTAGGCAAACAAAAGATAAAATTAAAAGAACCAAATGGGTGGAGTCTCAACATATGCATCAAATTCTACAAACACAAGAAATTTATTGGTTTGAGAGAAAATTCTGTTAATAGAAGCTGCAGTTCAGGCAGTATTTTTAGACACTATTTGAAGTAATGCACTTTGGCATATAGATACATGAAATCTCTTGTATAAATATATTTTTCATGCCACAGTTTCCTTTTCTGCTTCTATCCTTTTTTCCCAAAGAATCAGGATACAGTATGTGTTTTCCGTTCTGCCTTTCATCCCTGCATCATAGGTTAGGCAGAAGTATAATAATTGAGGATTCATGAAGTGTAATACAGCCTCACACCAGACAGGAGTGTGCAGACCAGACTTTTGTTCTTCATCAGGGTCATTAAGAAATCTACGATTGTGACAAAGTTATTGTACATTTAACTGAAAGAAAGTGAATAGTAAAGTGAATAGGGTTGGATTATGGAATACTTTGCATGAATATGAAAGTGATGGTTGGTAGCTGAATGTGGTAGGAGTGGTATATGATAGAAGTAAAGGTTGTGTGAAAATAAATGGAATGCTTAGTGAATGGTTTAACATTTAACAGGGAATAAGAACAGGATATGTGGTGTCCTTTTGATTGTTTAATATATTTATGAATAAATGCCTAAGAAATACTTGCGATGACATCAGAGGTACAAGAGTTGGGAATGTGAATCTACCATATGTATGCTTTTGCATGTAGGTGTGGCCAGCACCAAAATTATTTGCAGCAAATGGTTCATAGATTGTATCATAATGAGGAATAAGGGTCTGAAAATTAATATACAGGTAGTACTCAGTTTAAGAACAAGTTCCTTTCCCAAGGTCTGTCTTAAATCGAATTTGTATGTAAGCTAGAACAGTATTATAGTATAATACTGTATAAGTAGTATTGTGTAATGAAATTGAACCATTGTGTATTTAACTCAAATCATTGTGTATTTAACTCAAACTTTGCTACAATAGGCTCCGTTCTTTACTATGGGTCATCTGTAAACTGGGCATTCTTAACCCAGGGACTACCTGCATTAAAGAGCAAGGTAGTTGCATTTGACAGGAAAATTTGAATGAATGATTACAAGTTACACATATTTGGTGAGAAACCTAAAGCAAGTAGATGAATTTGTACATCTTTATAGATTCTTTTTATTAAAAATGGGAAAATGGATGCAGAAATTTTTAGAGAAAAGATTGCTGGCCCAATGGTGCTAAGTAGCTTGCGATCTGTCTTGAATGAGGTAAAAGTCGCTGCATATGTGAATGTGTTTCTGCTTGCTTTGTTATATGGTAGTGAGAGTTTGGTTATGTCATGGGAAACAGGCAAAATAGGTTCAAGAATAAATGGATGATAAATGAACGTGGATTGAATATGAAACTGATTGACCAGTATAAAAGAAATATGTTGAGGTGATTTGGTCATATAGAGATAATGAATATCAATTTGCAAAACAATATATGAAGGAAAAGGGCATGGATCAAGAGGAAAAGGAAACCCAGAAAATTTGTGGTTGGATGAAGTTGAAGAGATCCTCTTCAAAAAGAGAGCAGCCAGAAGTTTAAAAAACAAAGAGCATTGTTTGAAACAGCGTATGGACACAGTAGAATCAAGGATGGATTACAAGGACAGAAGGATGTGCAAATGATGTGATTAATGTGTTGATGTAAGCTAGTTTTAGTTTCTGTCTCCTTTTCTTTTTCTTGTACTTTTAATTTCTTTGGCTTATTACTTCTTACTCCTTTTTCTGTGTTCTGTATAATGTGGCTTATCCGGAAACAGAATAGCATGATGCATATATATGTATGTAGATATGTATGTTTGTACATGGCGCTTTCATGTATCTGTGATCAATCTCTGAATAACTTCACATGCTTAAAAAAAATCTGTTGCCATTTGCTTTTTTAAACCATAACTTGATAATTCTTCTTTGGAGCTCTTCAGTTAAATAACAGACAATGCAGTGGAATATTAAAAGCACATTATTTAATTTCAGGTGCAGGTATTTGGATTGTACACAGGGGAAGAATTCCATGAAACATTTGATTGCCCAATTAAAGTAAGTATTACTTTATTTTATTAATTTATTCTTAATTTATTCTTTAATTTATATAAAGTATCTTAATTTATTCTTAACAATATACTACTATTACATTCAGAAATAGTTGCACCAATTCCAAGAAGAATAGGATTATTCTATTATTCTATTCTAACAGATTGCTATCCTGACTTGTTAAATTAACAGTAACCTAATGATCTTTTGTGATTTATAGTGTTTTAGTGTCTGTCACCAAACCAGAGTTATGTTACAGTATGAGCCATGCTGTGTAGGGTATGAGGCCACAATAGGATGGAATCCAGTTGCTGGAACTTCTAGTTCGGGTGGTTATCATCTTTTTTCAGGCTGAAGGGCTGCTCTTCGCCTTTGTGCAATTAGCCAGGACTACATTCCCAAAAGGTGGTTGATACTAGGGCAAAGGAAATTGACAGGGTCAAAAGAAAACAATATTTATTTTAAGTAAAGTTCAGGAAATTGTTTTCAGTTAATATGATTTCTTATCATTCTACATGCATTAATTTTTGCCTTTTCCTTATGAAGAAATACAGGTACAGGTAGTCCTTGGTGAACAATGGCAATTGGGTTCAGAATTTCCGTCACTAAGCAATGTGGTTGTAAAGTCCAATGTCATGTGACTGCTCCGCTTAGCAACGGCACTTCCGGCACTTCCAGTTGCCATTGTTAAGCGAATCCCGCAATGTCATTAAGTGTGACATCATGTGGTCAGCATTCACGATTTCCTGCTGGCTCCCCATTGACTTTGCTTGTCAGAAGCCGGCGGTGAAGGTTGCAAATGGTGATCACGTGACTGCAGGATGCTACGACATTGTAATTGCAAGCCAAGCCCCCAGATCGCGATCACATGACCGCGGGGACGCTGCAATGGCCAGAACTTCAAGGACTGGTAGTAAGTACCACTTGTTCAGCACCTCATTAAGCGAGGATCACCTGTAAGCCTAACACCGCAATACAAAAATATTTAATACTTTTCTCCATTACATTCAGATTGTTGCTGTTCACCCTCAGTTTGTGAGATCGCATTGTAAACAGTTTGTTACAGGAAGAAACAAAGTAAGTTTACTCATTTCATAAAACTTTTTAGATTTATAGCATGGTTCAGGTTGACCCAAATAAGGAGATTTATGGCAAAGATATTTGTTTAGATTTTTCAGGTTTCCTGTTTGTTACTTTAATGAGATGCTTTTTAGAAGCTGTCTTTTCAAATCCATACAAATATAAAGTGGAGTTTCTGTTTCAGTGAATGTAAAACCAGGATAAATCTGTTATATTTTTTTGTTCAGTTACTTCATATTTTGAGAAATAATTGTTTTTAAACTACGCTGACATTATAGAATGGAAGATGGTTTTAAGTTTCCACAAGTTGATAAAAGATTCCCTGTTGAGCTAGGAAAGCTGTAACAAGTGTGTAGCCTAGCCATGTTTATTACTACAGAATTGAATGTGACTCACTTTTTGGCAGATTTACTTAGAACTTCATCCCGTGTGGGATAAAGACAAGTCAGGCTTAAAATTTTCTTTTCTTCACACACCATAGGGGTCCAGTAGAAGCCATGATGATGTCATGTGTGTTAAAATCCTACTGTGCAAATGATGCAAGTGATCTATGAGTAGTATACAATCTGTTTTGTTTATGTGGTGTCATGACACATGTGATGTCACTTATCATTCCAGAGAATTCCCATGTTTATACCCATTCGTATTCTTTGCTACCAAACCACATGTAGTCATACATCTATTACTACTTGTGATACTTTTAAAAAATAACCAATTTAATATCAAATAGGCCAGGCTTCTTCAGTCTGGATGTTCTCCTTATGAGTTCAATTCAGCATTCAGAATTCTTAATAATGGTCATGTTGGCTAGGGAATTCAAGGAACTAGTCCACCTATCTGGGGGAAATCCAGAGTGGGGATGGCTGGCAATAAACATTTGTGAATTGCAAAGTTCATGGAGTTTAGTTGTAACAAAGAAGTATTTTGTGATCTACACGTTCATGCAATAATAAATTGATTAGTCTTTAAGTGCCATGAGGTTCTTTGATTTTTTTGCAGAAGGGGCCTGTTTAACCCTCTGGAATATACATCACGATATAATATACAGTACACAAGGTGCATTTATTTTTATATATACATCTTGTGTATATGTGTATGCATTGATCTCCTTTGTTTGGATTTGTTCAGTTATTACAGTGAAGGGGATAGCTCTGTGCAGACAAAAGGATGCAGGTATCTAACAAGCCCTTCCACTGAAGTGAATGCTCAGGACTGTGCATGTGGGACTCTGAATACAATTTAGAGCAAACATTGGTCTCAGGCTCGGTGCAAGAGACTGCAGCCTGGAATATACATTTGTGTTTTGCTTTGGTCTGTTTTATGTTTTTAAACTGATCTCAAGACAAATGGTTTGCAGTTTAGTGAAAGTGTGTGCTGTGTTAAGTCAAGAAGGTCTTGCTGTGTGACCGTGCAATCCTCATTTGAGAATGTCCAAATGAGTTTGTGGCTATCAACCTGGTGGCAAATTCTTGAATATGAAAAAGCGATGTTGGCGAGAGGTCACACACAAACAGTATTGCATTCTGAAGTACATGCACTGTTGCCTGCATGTATGAATTTGCTAGGCTATGATTCTTGTTGATTCAGATCAAGACTTTTATCAAGAATGGACTGTAGGTTATTCTCTTTAGGTTTCTTATTTGTATTTTCCACACCCAATTCTCTGGCCATTTTCTTGCAATTCTTCCTCTCTCTCTTTCATTATACACAAGCATTGAGAAGATATACAAATGAAAGATGCAAAGATTATAAAACAATTTGGATAATTTAAAATTTAATGTGCAGATTATTAGAGGTACTTAACTTACTGAAGCAAATTAACTAGCGATGGATATAGAAGTAGCATTTCTAACAAAATTCTTCTGGATTATTCATCAGGGTAATCTTCATAAAAGGAATAATCTATTGTTAATAAAGATTAGATTTTTTAGGCAGGAAGTCTGTGCTGATACCAAGTTCCTCTTTGAATTGGATTGCAGCTTGGATAAGGCACAGCAAACTAAAACTGAATCAAGACAAATTTGAGCATGTAGTTACTGCTGATGTCTCTATCTTATTGAAGGGGTATTTTCCTGCTCTGGGGAAGGGCACACTTACTCTGAACAAGCAGATTGACAGCTTGAGGGTGCTTCTCAACCTGTCCATGTATGCTCAGATGAGCATAATGGTGAGGGGGATCTTATTTGAGCTGTTGATGATCCAGATAATCCGTTTCCTCCAGGACTTCTTGGAGATGCAGACTTGGTTGGAGACTGGAAGGAAATTGTCCAGATCTGTGGGATCCAGCAATGGTTTCTTGAGGATGGGGAGACCAGCGCCTCTCTTAGAGATGATAGGATCACTCCCTCTCTCAAGGAAGCATTTACCACCAAAGGGATGCATTCACACACCCCATCATATGGAGTCCTTAACCAACCAGGAGGGGGCATGGGTTTAAAACAGTTGGCCACACCTATAGCACCAAGAACCCTGTCAGTTTCGTCAGAACTAACAGAATTGAACTGTTCCCAGATAACATCACATGATCATGCCTCACTTAACTCCATGGGACTTGCCATGGAGTTCAAGTCACAGCGAATACAAGCAATTTTATCCACCGTGTATTGAGAATACAGGGACCTTGCAGATGCTCTCCCAGCCTTTATTTGCTTTTTTCTGCCTTCTGCTCATTTTAATATATAAATCTGTTTACAGTTTGAGTATCATGAAGCAGGTACTCTCCTCATCCTTTATGGGTATATTACAAGTGCTCCCTAAAAAGAAGGCCCATCCAGAAAGAACAAGGGCCTTTGTAATGGTGTCTGATTGCCTACTTGTAAAAATGATTTTTTTCTTAATATTGCATTTTTAATTTTTTAGTTACTTTATATAATATTGGTCTTCTCTGGATTTATGTATGTTTTATTGGTGTTATTTATTGTGTTATTTTATTAATGCTGTTTTTAACCAATGTAACTTGTTGCTTAACCATCTTTATTGTACTGTAAATCTTGGTAGGTGACTTGCCAGTAGCATGTGGGTATAAATTTGACAATAAATAAGTGAGAGCCAGATACAGAAGTCAGCATACCTACAGTTACAAACAAGGCACCTGTGAACACATTCTAAGCCTAAGGATTTTTTATTATTAGTATCAGAAATGAACTGAACTCACAGTCTAGTCACACAAAAGTCTACACCTGTTTATTCTAAGCTTCTTTATTTCAGCAATATCATTTCGATGGAAAGAAAATCTTGCTGCTATTGTTAAATAATTGCAAATCAGAAATTCAGCAAGCTCGGCCATTTACTAATTGATCCCAATTTTTTATACTTTGTTAAATCCCTTGCATTTTCTAGCAGGCTGATTTTATTTTCTTTTAGTTACACACTATTTTTTTTTAGTTATGCATGCACATACCCCACACCCTCTTTCCACAGCCTCCCTGCGACTGCACACACCCCGCACCCTCTTTCCTTGGCTTCCCTGCGATCGCGCACATACACTCACATACCCCTCACCCTCTTTCCACAGCCTCTTTGTGATTACACACACCCTCTTTCCATCACCTCCCTGCAATTGCACACATGCACGCACCCCACACCCCCTTTCCCTGGCCTCCCTGCAATCTTATGCACCCCATGCCCTCATTCCCTGGCCTATCTGAGCTCACTGCACTGAGTACTCCCTCCCCTGAGCACCCCCTCCCCAACATGCACTGGGCCTCCCAGGGCCTCCCCCACCCCCCTGCAGCACCCCTGTGCTCCTTACCTGGGATTCCTGCCTCTCCCTGCTTATGACCCATGTGGTCCTGGGGAGGGAGGGAGGGAGGGAGGGATATATATATATATCAGACAACTGATATGTGCACATGGCCCTTCATTATACCTCATGTGACCATCAAACTCTGGAAGACTCTGAGCATCATTCTTGGTCAGCTGATCAGCCATCAGAAAAATAAATGTGTTCTGCTAAGCATGGACTGTGATTTTGCCTGCATCATGATCTCTGAGAGTAGAGGTGTTTACAATCTCCTTTAGCTTAATTAATCTACTTGGAGGAGAAACAGCCAGTTAGAAGGTGGCAAAATTAAAACAAAGGTATTGGCTTTCATGGCAGCTGGTAAACTAAGTGTGTGAATAAGATATATTATGTTTGTTTGTTTGTTTGTTTGTTTGTTTCAATGTGTGGTTGCCTTATTCTACCACCTCTTACGTCACTGGAGCTAAAACAGTCGCCCACCTCTGTAATAAACTGTGGTGGTATTATCAGATGAAAGACAGTATAATAACACTTAATCTAGATTATTAATAATCAAAGGTTAAAAGTGATGATGTTTAGTTCTCATTTTAGTGAACTGACATAAATAAGTTGCCCATGCAAAGGAAACTGGTAGGAGTCAGTAGGGCCATCGTTTCAAACTTTTTTCTACTGTGAACTTATGAACTAACCAGCCATTTCTTGGCTTCAGACACTTCAGCCTACTTTATGGTGGAAACAGTTATATCTACTTTATTGCTTTAGCATATGAAGCATTTTGAACTCTCAAAGTATTGTTAAGTATTGTTATTAAAATATTACAGGAAGCAATGTTGGTAGGAAGAAAATTTTCCTCAACCTGTTGCCATTATGTTAAGTTGATCTGCAACTACCATAATTCCCAACTATCATGGTAGAAGTCGGAGATGAAGTAGCAGAGGCAAGATAATCATAGAATTTGGAGCATAGTATTTTGTCTTTGACCACAATTCTAATATGGGGTTCTTTAATGTTATTGAGAACTCTTGGTATAATATAATAGAAATATGCTGTTCTTTTGACCAATGGGTACAGGACTGACTAACTGAACCATTCCTGCTCCTTTCACACTACAATTAAGTATAGTAAGTATTGAATGGAACACTTGGCAGATGATGGTAACCTTACAATAATAATACATTGTAAATAACAGGGCATCCCCAGCCAAAGGAGATAGTGGAATTTTGTGGCATAAAGAAAAAGACAAATAGTGCTACTG